GCCACTTTTATTATTAAACACAACTGGGGAACACACAACAACACAGACAGAACACCCAAAACACACACAATCCCCTCCAAAACCCATAACTATACACAGCCCACACAGAGGAGCATAATGAGGGATCGTACCAGGTTCTCTCTGCCCCCAGTGCTGCAAGTTCAATATCTTATGGCAAATTATTATAGGCTATTATAAAAAAAAAGAAAGAAAAATCAGTCCTCTCCAACTTCCAAGTCCAAATGCAGTCAGTGCTTGAGTCCAAGTCCAAGTCGAGTCACAAGTCCTGAAAATCTGGAATCAAGTCTAAATCCTGGACTCCAGTACTACAGCACCGGAATGCACCTATATTACTGTAATGTAACATCATGTGAAAGACTTGAGCAGTGTGCTTTGGAAACGTTCATATGTAAAAGATGTGGTGTAGCTTTAGAAATGCTGGTTCCCGCTGCATCTTGCACTGTTGTGTGTATTTGTGTAAATGATGTAACAGTGCAGACACAGAGGCGATGCTGTGAGACGGGAGCAGACAGAGAGGAGGGAAAAGTACTGAGTGATCATAATAAACACCTTTTAATGGAAGAAAAGGTCGTGTCAAAAGGTAGCTTCTTTTTATTTCAAGGTTCAAAACAAAGTTATGTTTTCAAATGTTGCGAACAGAAAAAAATTGTCAGAGAGAGGTTTATGTGTACTTATGACACCAGTTTTCTTTTTTTAAAAACTATAGCTCTTAAGAAAACTATGTTGCAATTAACTCTTTACCTGACTCGAATCATTTCAACACATCTTTTTGAAAAGAACTTTGTGCTCAGATGGAAACAGTTGTTTTTACTGCTTTTATTCTACTATTTAGCCCCAACTTTAACACATAAAGTGAATAAATCTGTCCAATATTTTCAGTGACACAGACTAAATTAAAATTTTTTGTTCCCTGAATGCTTCTGTCCTGGAGACATTGTTTCTACTGCTTTTGTCTAAAAAAGCAAAATTGATATTACATTTGAGGATTTGTTTATTTTTACAACACCAACTAACTCCAGTCATATACAGTACATTTCCCATTACTGCAGTGTTCAGAAACAGTTTGCTGAGAGCACTACTGATAATTTTAGGAAGAGTTCCTTCAGTTTGTTTACGATCACATACATCACATTGTTAGTGCTGTATTTAGGGTCTTTCTAAACTAAGTTGCTTCAAAATGTTGTATTTTATGGCACTGATATCAACACCACAGTTCATAAATACATGGCCAAGGCAACTCAGTGTCCCCATAATGGCATCCTACTGGATCCATAAAGTTTCAGCTAGAATTTGATCTTAGTTGCAAGTCTGTAGCATTATTTGTTGTGTCACAGCAGTGAGTTTTCTGAGAGTCCTATAAATTTGAATATTCTGCAGATCAGCAGATCCAGAATATTACTTGGATCCAGATCATACTTTGGTTTGTGGTAGATCTTATGTGGATGTTATCTTGTAATTTTTGTCCAAGCATTATAGGGATTGTGTATAGATTTAGAATCAAAAATATTGAAAGTGGTCCTATCTCACAATGGTGAAGAATACTTTTAAAAAATCTTGGCTCTGGATGATGATCCAGATCACCACCACAATCTAATGGATTGTTCAGTGGACCATACGTTACCTCTCCAAAAGATCTCATCAAAATTCATTCATTACTTTTTGAGTTATGCTGTGAACAAACCAACAACCACAACCTACTCAAGGTACTAAAAAAGCACAGTGATTTTCAAGTATCTCACTGATACTTTGCTCACTTCAATAATATTTTGCAGAAAATGCTACATTTTTACACCCATTCAGATGTCCTACATAGGTAATATTTAGTTTGACTTCAATTGGGAAACTAATCCTTCACAAAGAAATAAACTTTAATCCTCCGTGCCTATCCGGTGCTAATCCTTCAAGTTCATTCTGTTTTTATAGTGTGCTTTTATTTTCTCAAGACCTTGAAAAACTAGACACTACTGCCTGGTGCTCATTCTTCACTGCACAGTATAAAGGCTCTCAATTCAAAGTGATGGAGGACCAACTTAGAAGAGCTTTTCTGCCAGTGGAGTGCTAGGTTTCCAGACAAGCCCCTGTTTTGGCCTGGGGCCTAGACACTCAGTTCTGCTCCTTGAGGACTGGTGTAAGACTGCTGTCCTCAAGGTTTTGATCCTCTTTCCGATCCTCCTTGATTGTCAATTGTCTACACTTGGTGTTAACCAAATTCAGACCAGGTGTGGCTTGTTAACTGTCCAGGAGGATCAAGCATCTACAGGAGACTGACCTTGGAGGACCAAAGTTAAACATCTAAGGGCTAGGACAGTAGAAATATTATTTTTCCTACAGAGTGAAGGGAAATTAAATGTAACATGTATTTTGCCAGTTTTCATTTAAATTATTTCCCTTATTATTTACAGTATAACTTGTCTTCTTTGGACAAAATTACATAAATATTTTACTAAGTGTATTCAGAAGGGTAGTTATGTATATATTCATTTTGGAAGGCATGATACCAACTTGACTGCAAACACACTGAGCAGTGGCATAAAATATTATGCCCTTGTTTGTAGTTTTATTGTGTACTGTTGACGGTTTGATCATTTTAAGCCTCCAGTGTAACCTGTAGTTCATGAATGCCTACATATTAAACCATGATTGCAAATGTTGCAAGCACTGTACTTACCATTAATGAATAGTACTTTTCAGTTTGCTGATGACCAGGTCAAAACTACAAAGACATATGTTAAATTAATAAATATACAGAGAGTGCATCCATTTGTGGACTTAGATATACCTTTGAATAACCAGTAGTTCCATCAGCATTTGTTTGTTAAATGCTTTTCAATTATAATGAGTTCTGCAAATAAGTTCCCATAGCTAAAAATACATTACATTATGTGTTTCTCCTTCACAAAATGGGTTCCTAGAGGCTAAATATTTTGGTCAGTAATTTATTTTTTGTGAAGGTTAAGAGCGAGGACTTCCAAATTATATAAATATTAAACTGGCAGAGATCAAATATCACTGCTTCGTAGAAAACCTTTTGTATTTATATTGTTCCAGAACTTAAGGCTACAAACACACAAGACTGGCTGATGATTTTATACACAACAAACTGTCACCCTCCAGTGAAAACCCAATATCTTCACAATAACATTAGACAATGGTATTTAAAAAAAAAATCAAGTTCACCAAAATAAAAGTTTCTCTGACTTCAACCTTTCAATTTGTTCTTGTAGGGGGAAAATATAATTGTAAAATACATTTTTTGACATAGTTGATGTGTATCTGTAAATCTTGGTTCTTACAGCAGAAGCGAGTACTGATGCTTTAGTATTCTACCAGCCAGTTACAGTAACTGCAGTCAGCTGTTTCACTCTGATTACCATCTGATTAGAGTGGAAGCCAGTTGTGCTTTGGGTCCTTAAGCCTGAGCATGTTGTCCTTAATCAGCCATGCATGACAATTGTCTTAAAGGTTCAGTCACATCTACCAAACCAAATGAGAACTTAAAAGCATCCAAATACTGTTGTTGTCATGAGGATTAATAAGGGAGATGTTTGTGTGTGTGTGTGTGTGTGGGGGGGGGCGATGACTGCTGGGTTAACATAAATCTGCTGCGGTTAGATTACTGCACATTAAGATAATACAATTTGAGGAATCTATACAATTTTCTGCCAGTTTCATTAAACATACATTAATTATGTATGTTTAATGAATTATGTAAGCCTAATTTATTGGTCTACATTATCAACATGTTTATCTGGCAGTGATTACTGTTTAATTGGTGATTAGATTAACTGAGAGCACTGATGCCAAGTGGCTTTTTTTTTCTTTTTTGCTTTTGAAATGGTCTTTGCCAAAATGGACCTTCAAACATCCCACAGTACCTGCAATGCACACAATGATTTACAGAACACAGAAAACAAAATTAATAGTATACATCACAAGGGAGGTAAAAGTAGCTTACATCATGTATTTTCTGTATTTTAGTTTCAGTAACATAATTCTGAAATTTGCTGGGATGGATGGAACAGTACAGAGGAGAGAATGGGTTTTGAGCCCAGATTTGTGACAGGATGCATTTCCTCTCCCGCGGAGGAAGTTTCTGATTCAGGAAACAGCATCAGATGAAATGATTGCTTCTGGCTGTGGAAATGGCTGGAACAGCAGGATATACAGTGGGAACCATATGTGATTGAAGACACTTTCTAAAATCATTTTACTTTTCCTGTTATAGACTTTGTAATGGTGATTATGGAAACTTCAGTCTTTGTTTCAACATCCTTTTCAGCTCTGAATATGGGGCGGAATATCATTGGTTCTCCACAAAGCAGAAGAACACTTGAATAAATTAAAAATTCATGAAAAGTTAATGTGTAAATGAGGAGTCTTGCTTAAGAAACAGGTGACACACATTTATGTTTGGGTTATGAATCTCAGTATGTTCAGGCACCAACATGCACGTTGTCCTTGGCAACCAGTAGAATCACTGTCCTCATTTTCTGTCCCCCTTGCACCTCTCCATGCACCTGAAGATAAAGGTACTGAAAAACTGAGACAAAAGATAACTGTACTGAGTGAGGAGCGGATTGTGCTTAATTCTTAATTTGGTAATCAGGTACAGTAATCAAGATTCTAGACCATGGGTAGAACATAAATGCATTGAGTGACTAAGCCATCTTGGGAACATTTCCTTGCAGTTACAACTGCGGTATGGAT